AAGTGATAAACACTTACCTAGTACTCAACTAAAGCAAGGCAAAAGAAATAAAACAGTTACAAAAAATGCATGATCCTAATAATGCAAAATGGTTAATGCAACACATGCAAAAATGTAACTAATAGGTTCGGTTGTCTAATATGTCATGTAAATCACTTTGATAGCATGCAGTGGTGCACATATTCAAGGAAATAATAAATGACAATGCCGTTTAGAATGATGAACCGAACCTTATGCATGCGAGACGAATGGATACTTTGTACATAGAAAATGCTAAGTAAACATGATGTTCTATGCTATCCATCAGAAGTAAGTAAATAAAAGAGAGAAAGAAATAGAGGTTGGAAGGCATACATATTATTACAAGAGTGCCCACATGTAAGAGGGTTTGAATGAATGTCCTAGCTAATTACCGAATTAACTAACTATTACAATACCAAAATAAATGAATCAACTACACTAGCTAATTAATTAATTACAACACAAAAAATTAATTAACTAAGCTATTACAAATTCGAAGGAATTACACAACATAATACTATTACCATAAATTAACGAGCCACGAGGAATGAAGAATTGTTCATGTATGAATGCAGATTTGCATCTGAAAATGCCATCTATTTTGCTGCCAGAATGTTTCTGCTTTGCAGTCAAAAAATTAAACTATTTTTGCCTCAACCTCTGCTCTGTTTTACAAGGAAAAAGGCATTACCTAGATGAAAAGAGGTGGCCAGCCGGCCAAAAAGAAGTGGTCGACCGGCCACTAGTTTTTGTTACTGCCCTGCTCTAATATACAAGAAACAAAACACAAACAGAGTATTTTCTGGGTATATTTGTCCACCCTGCCTCACATTATCATCAAACAGATAAAATGAGGAGTAGGCTTGATTCGCAAACCATCAATCGACACAAATTTATTGTGTGATGATTTATGGATCAAGGGACAAAAGCTCAATAAATGAAGCTAAAAGACCAACAAAACCCTTTCCCTATCATGATATTGATCAACGGAAGTGATTGACATCGAATCTTGAATCATTATCATCACTAGCAAATATGAAATGACTCAAGACTCAATGGGTTCAACTAACGTCCGATTGAACCGTAGTTGATTTTATTATCTTGTTCTGTTTTAACCTAATTTTATTGCCCCCTTTATTTACATTTCCATTCATTAGTCATTTTAGTCCAAAAATGAGCATTAAGTCCACTAATGGAGAGAAGTGTCAAACAAGAAGTTGTTTTGGGCATGAGAGAGAGGCAATGCCATGGTAGTGAACCTTCAAAGAGATTATACCATTTAGCATTGAAGGGTCTCTTTCTTAAGCTTAAACAACACTCGGTTGGAACAACTCTCAAAGAAATAAAAGCCAAGAAAGGAGGGAGAGTGCAGAGGTGATTGCATGTGAACACAAGTATGAAAAGCATGAAATAAATGCTATCAACTCAAATAGGTTGGTGGCTAAGGCCTAAACCACCAAACCTATGAGAACAATTACACTATCAGCATGCTATACAAAGCATAAATGAAATAAACAACCTAAAAGAGTCCTAAAATAGATAATTAAAAAAAAATGTGCTAAAAATAACATGGAAAGGCTTGAAAATGTAAGCTAAAATAATAAGGAAATGAAGCTAGTAAACAAGAATAAGGAGGGGTGGCTAACCCCTCCGTTTTTTGGGACTTCAAAACTACATTTTTAGCCTCTAAAAACCTCTGAAAATCAGTGGTAAAAAGTTGAAAAACGTTTGAGGAAGAGATGGGGAACAATAGTACAAAGGCTTAGGAGACAAGGTTTAAAGAAATGTGATTAACTCTTCTATCTTTATTAGCCTTAAACCACAAGCTTCAGCTCATGAAAACAGTTCAAAAAATAGTCTAGAAAATACCAAGTAATGATAAGGAAAAAGTAGTGGAAGGAAGCTTGAAGTTATACCTCTCGAAAAGAAATAACACTTTAAGTTATAAACTAACAATTTCTGACCCTCAAAAGCTAAAATTCAAGCTCAATAACATCAGCAAAGAGACCTAAAAATATAGTTTAGAGAGTCTAGGTAAGTTGTATATGGTTGCAAGGTAAAGAAAGAAATATTTTCAAGAGTTTTGATTCACCAAATTCTTCTAACCTAATTTTAAGAGGGGGGTCAAGTATATATAGAAAAACATGTTACTATCTTGAAAATATCAGTATAGAGACAGTTAGTGCAATGCATGCACCTGTGGGGACGGCTTGCATAGCTGGTAGCAAAATATATGTTTTGCCATAACAACTGACTGGCCGGCCACTAGGGAGACGGCAAGCCACTCACTTCTGTCAGGCTTGGAAAAATATTGTTTTGATTCAAAAGTGATGCAAGGTTTTTGGGCTTCTGTGACTCAAAACCAAGGATTCTTGCTAAAGAAATCGAGCGGTTGTCCAACGTATAAATTCATCATTGGGTGAGCAATCAAAGGAGCCCAAGTCTTAAGGGCGGTAAAAAATAGGGTGTCTACACTCGCTGACTTAGGCATCGGAGGGATTTCTGCCACACGCCCGTCGACATTCTCACGTTTGTGTTTTTCAAGTGATAAGACGACGATGTTTGTGGGAGTGCAAACTTGATCAACAAGATTACACGATTAAAATTATTTCGTGCTCGTACAGTTATATATGCATGAAAATTATAATTAAATTTAAATTAGGATAAAGGTTAGAGATATATTAAAAATAATTAGGAAATTAAGGTTAATTTGTGATTTAACTGAATCAATGTTTTGTTATGAGAAATTAGTGTTGTTTAAATTAGAACTTTTATGTAGAATAAAGGATGAATTACACTAACGTTCTCTATAGTTTGGGGCTTGTGTCATTTTTGTTCTTGACTTTTTCATTGTGGCACTTTTGATCTAGAATTTTGAATTTAGTTCCAAATAAGGACAATTGAAGACACTGTTACTCCATTTCAAGGGTAAAATCATCAATTTAATAGAATATAAACTACTTTGATAAAAATAAATGTCAAAAAATTATTTTTAAAATTTTAAAATTTATTTCTATTCACAAAAGATAAAATTATATAAAAATAATAAATCTATTACATTATATATATATATATATATATATTTACCAAATTAATTGTTAGTATGTCTTTCAATGATGATCATGAAATGAGTGTTTTTTTTCTTTTTATTGATATTTTTGGAAGGTTATCATATAGTAGATAGCTGTATTAGTTGTTGACAAATATTTTTGGATGTTTATAATGTAATGAATAGTTATTAGACTTTTAATGCATAATCGATATATTTAATTTATGAAATACTTTTAGTTTTGGATTTTCTTATTTAATGAATTAGTTAAATAATGACATCAAAGTTGTTGGCATTTTTGACTTTTGAAAAAATAGAATTTAATCTAACGAAAACAAATATCAAAAAAGAATTATTTTAAAAAATTATTTCCAACCTCCCAAAATATAAAACAATATAAAAATAATGTGTTTGTAATTTTTTTCACCAATTTAATTTTTTATTTTTTAGAAAAAAAAAATTGAAAATAAATTCTGAAAACAAAATGAAACAGAACTTTATAACTAAGAAAGTTTCAACATTATTTATTAAAAAGAAATGTCATTACATTTCAAAAAACATACAAGTTAACCAACACAAAATAAATTGTATGACGACTTTGCCCTTGAAATGGACCGTTTTGTTCTTATTTGGAACAAAATTCAAAATTCATGATCAAATATATCATAATTGAAAAGTTATGTATCAAAGTGACACAAATCATAAACTATAAGAACTGTTAGTGTAATTCGCCCTATAATAAAAGAGAGGGAAAGAAACAAATAGAAGTACCCAAATGAAGAAGAAAAGTCAAAAGTGTATTATGGTCATTTCAAGCATTCTGTTAATAGAGTTTGAGTTGCAATTTAGTTCAAAACCGTAGGGGAGATCTCTGTCTATTTTGAAACTATATGGAGTAAAATGCTCTAAGTCTAAATTATAAGGTGGTAAAATGAATTTTGTTCTAAAAAATAAAAAAGTGAAGGTTGAAGACTAAATAGGACATTTGGCAGTTGGGGGGCCACTACACATGCACACATGGAAATAAACACGAAGAAGTAGTAATATACACATAAAAAGCAATTGAGCCAAGGCAGGGGACCACGGCCCCTATTGTCTACACTTTGGTCCGTCCTTACTTATAATAGCACACTCATCAAGCGTGCACACACCATTAGTGTATATATGGTGGGTAAGATTGATATAATTACCCTAAAAGCTTTTTAAAAAGCTTAAAAGGCATAATGAAGTAAAATTCATAAACATTTATTTACCTATATTTTCACATAGAACATAAAATACAACATTATTTATTAAAAAAAAATGTCATTACATTTCAAAAAACATACAAGTTAACCCACACAAAATAAATTGTATGACGACTTTGCCCTTGAAATGGACCGTTTTGTTTTTATTTGGAACAAAATTCAAAATTCATGATCAAATATATCATAATTGAAAAGTTATGCATCAAAGAGACACAAGTCATAAATTATAAGAACTGTTAGTGTAATTCGCCCTATAATAAAAGAGAGGGAAAGAAACAAATAGAAGTACCCAAATGAAGAAGAAAAGCCAAAAGTGTATTACGGTCATTTCAAGCATTCTGTTAATAGAGTTTGAGTTGCAATTTAGTTCAAAACCATAGGGGAGATCTCTGTCTATTTTGAAACTATATGGAGTAAAATGTTCTAAGTCTAAATTATAAGGAGATAAAATGAATTTTGTTCTAAAAAATAAAAAATTGAAGGTTGAAGACTAAATAGGACATTTGGCAGTTGGGGGGCCACTACACATGCACACATGGAAATAAACACGAAGAAGTAGTAATATACACATAAAAAGCAATTGAGCCAAGGCAGGGGACCACGGCCCCTATTGTCTACACTTTGGTCCGTCCTTACTTATAATAGCACACTCATCAAGCGTGCACACACCATTAGTGTATATATGGTGGGTAAGATTGATATAATTACCCTAAAAGCTTTTTAAAAAGCTTAAAAGGCATAATGAAGTAAAATTCATAAACATTTATTTACCTATATTTTCACATAGAACATAAAATAGTAAGTCTTCCTTATGTTACACACATCAGAGGAAAGAAAAACACAAACACTCAAACCAGCAAAACTAGCACACAATAAAGAACTCAAAGCTTCGCAATACAACTTCATAATACTGCCAAAAATAATGTTGTACATAAATGGATTTTTATCATATTTTCTTAATATAGGACACAAAGTGGTAGGGTCTATATTAATAAATACAGATGTGACCCATACCTTGTATCTAGCATTAAGAAAATCAAGTAAAAAGTTCATTTATGTAATAGCATTATGCCTTGACAAGGTGTGCATCAATATCTTTAGTAACACCAACTCCGAAGTCCAAATATTTATCTGGTGTTGGGGCATTCTCATTGACCTTCTCATATTCAATAGTCCACTTAACTAAGGCCCCCTCGCCCTTTTCAATAACTTGGAGGATTGATTTGAAGCTCTTGTAGCACTGCATGATCTCTCCTTCAACGACGTTGAAAGTTACCACCTTGTTTTCATCATCTATGGATTCAACTGTCTCCTTGAGAGATTCAGCATTTTTATCTAGGTTTTCACAATGAATCGAAGTTGTCAAAATTAGTTGGAGTTTCTATCACTGCAAAAAGAGGATTACTGTATATGAAAACTAAAAAAATAAAAAATTAACCGTTTTAATGCACCACGTACATGGTAAGGTATTATTTGTCTATATTATCTTCTTAAGTATTTCCAAATAAGAAACTAATCATTAATATTCACGTAAGTGGTGGGAAAAAAAGGTATAAAAAACAGATAACGTATAGCATTTTTATTTTGCATAAGATGAACTCAACTTCAACTAGAACTTGTGATTTGAAACAGTAGGGTAAGAATTTTGAGAACGGAGAATCTTGTACCCTTGTTTTCGCTTTAATTTGGTCAAATGCATTCAACGATTCCATGGTTTGCAAATTGTTTAGTTTGTTTGTGTATGTTCTTCAAATTAAGTTGTCATATTTATATTGGGTTATTGAACCCTAAAATCAAATTAATTGGAAACCTTTCACGATTTACCTCCTGCCTTCTCAAACTCATGATCCTATTTCAAGAATCCCTTGTTTTAAGTATCTCATAATATGGATTGTTGCCGTCTCAATCTTGCGATCATATTTCAAGAATCCCTTGTTTTGAGTTTCTAATAATATGGATTGGCTGAGAATGCATTGAAGACAGAGAAACATAAAAATTTGGAGATTAGAGGATCCGTAGCTAAAAAGAAGAGAACAAATTACAAGCAGCACATAGAGATGAACTCACATCTAGTCATAGCCTAGTGGGCTTGTATTATGTATTTGCATGAAATTAATAGACAAAGACAAAGTTAGAATTTGGTTTGGGGTTGTCTTACCAAGGACATAATTCCATTTCTTGATTGAGCCTACATTCTCCCAGTCACCTTCATGCACGTCAATACCTGAAACTTTTTCAGGGCAGATGTTTGGGATGTGGTGTGCTCTACTCCTGAATATGTGATAAAACTTATCAGCGGAAGACTGTATTTCAACTTCAGCCTCCAACTTACCAACTAAACTCATATTTATCTATCTACAAAAAACCCAACACTTATAAGTTGAAAACTTAATGAAGAGGCAGATGTGGAGGACACTACCCTGCCTTACCCTTTATATAGAATGCTTGTGAGCTAGGTTCATAATTTCCCTAGTGCTTTTCCACTTATTTTTGCTGATCTAACCTGCCTCAGCACTTGTGATTGCCTAGTCAAATACGGTGATGCAATACTATGTAAAATAAATGGTAGTGTTACAAAATAGTGTACAAACAAATTTTAAATCAAATTTTTTTTTTTTACCAAGAGGTACAAAGGTAATAAGATAAATAATAAATAAATGAACACAGAATCCACGTGTCTAATAATAAAAAAATCAGATAACAAATACTATTATGTATTTCATTTTCCTAGATCAAAATCAATCTTCTAATTGCCTCTAAAAGAGATGTTTTCGTCCAGTGACCATTTGGTTGAAATCATTTTGTGTATTCTATTTTGATTAATTAATAATCATACACATCATATTGTGAAATCATAAGTCAAAAAGACTATTCCACTACTATTATTTCACTTAATTTTATATAATGAATTTTGTGATTGATTCTCTATTTTAGGATTATTGACTGGTATGGGACAAATATGCTCAGCCTACAAGTTGGCATAAATTTCTTGTCAGGTGAACATAGGGAAGTTGTTAAGATGACACAACCAAAATGTGGAAGATGTTTGAGTTCAGGGTTAATTTTTTTTTCCTTTTTTTTTTTTTTTTTTTTTTTGTGATGGTTATAGTAGCCTTTGCTTTCACCCTCATTTCGACATACTGAAGAAAAGAATGTGAGTTTGATTGTATGGTTTAATTATTAGTTGTTCAAATTTTTAAATAATATATTATTCATCAAATTAGGTTTTAACAATTATTCATTTGAACAATCGTTTCTAATTAGACTACATTAGTTGAAATTGATAATTTCAAGAATTGATAATTGAATAAATAGTTTAAGGTTGTCATAAATAAAAATGGCAATAGTTTAAAGCATGAAAATGAAATTAATTATAATTAATTAATTATAATGGACCATGCTAATGATTGCCGTGGAAATGCCAATAAGAGGTGAAAAATACTAAAAATATTAGAATCCCAATGCAACTTATACACATCGGAAAACATCTTCATATATTTTTACATACTTGTTATATATATACACATTCCATTATTATTTAGCATTTTTCAATGTATAATTATGGGGACAAATTTGAAAGAAGTTTTCATGTATGAATGTGATGTTTAGGATTTGATAAATTAGAATATCAATTGACAATTAAGTTTATTGACCTTGGAAAGTGATGACAATCAAGCTCAAGCCACAAGCTCGGCAGCCAAAGCCACAGCTAAAGCCACGACTAGCTCAGCCACTAAAGCCATAGATGGAGCTGTAGCTTCAAGCTTAACCTGTTCAGTTAGATAGAGCTAGATAGACTGTTAGTTTGTCATAGATATTATTATTTAATTAGTTAGAGATTTTGTATATATAAGTGCTTGTAATCACAAATTCAAGTAATGAGAAAAGATTACAATAATTCTTCACTGTATCAGAGCTTCATATCAACTCATCCATGGCTTCCTCTCTTTTTTTATCTCTACCTACTAAGCTCAATCTTTTCATCTCCAATCTAAGCTCCTTCATTACCGTCAAACTTGATTCTACAAACTTCATTATTTGGCGAAGTCAATTTGAAAATATACTTCGTGCAACTAAGCTTTTGGATTTTACAAATGGATCTGTTCCATGTCCTCCATTGATGATCAAGAATTCGAGTGATGAACAAATCCTGAATCCAGATCGAGAAAAATGGAATGTTATTGATACACATTTGCTTAGTTGCACTGCAACAACTCTTGCACCAGCCATTTTCACATCAGTTCTTCATTTCCAACTTAGTGAAGAGGTATGGGACACATTGTGTAAAAGATTTACTCTACTTTCTCGATCTCACATTCATCAAATGAAAAATAGATTGAAAAATTTGACTAAGGAATCTAAGTCCAATGAAGACTACTTGAGTCAAATTAAAGAACTTGTTGATAAATTAGCCCTTGCTTCATCTCCTGCCGATGAAAAAGATCTGGTGTTGCTTACATTAAATGGACTACCTGATGAATTTGATGCTCTAAGAACTTTCATTCGTACCAGAACTGCAGCTATTTCCATGGCTGAATTGAGCTCTCTTCTTTGTTCTGAATCTATTCACATTGAATCCAAACAAAAAAAGAATCAGAACCTTGTGTCCTCTGTTGCTTATGCTGCTACAAAAGGCTCTAAGTCAAGCTATCATGGTTCCTCATCTTCTCGAGGACGATTAGTTCACAATTATAGAGGCACTTCATGAAGTTCTTTCAGAGGAGGAAGATCATCTAACGGAGGCAGAAGCAGACAATCTTCCATTAATTCAGGACTGATTTGTCAAATTTGTGGCAAAGCAAATCAAATTGCTTCAGATTGTTGGCATCGAATGGCTACAACCTATCATCAATCTTCTTCTACATCCTCTCAGTCACAGTTTGCTTCTTCACCAAAGGCTTATGTTGCCTCTGCGCAATCTGAATCTTCTCCTTAGTATCTTGATTCTGCAGCCTCTGATCATATCACACATAATCTTGCTAATCTCAGCATGTATCAGCCATATCAAGGTAATGATCACATCACAGTTGGAAATGGTAATTCTCTGCCTATCCAACACATAGGCAAAGGCATTTTGCCTACTCCTCATTACTCTTTCAAACTTAACAAGATTCTGCATGCTCATATTTCCTCCAATCTTGTTTATGTGCATAAACTTACCCAAGATAATGATTGTACTGTCACATTTGATGATTCTTTCTTTGTGATTCTGGACAAGAAATCAAAGGCAATCTTGCACCAGGGCTCTAATGTTCATGGTTTATATCAATTTTCCACTACTTCTCCTATTTTGCATCCATGTCTTCATCTCATACTTCACTTACTTCTACTACTGAAGTTGTTTCTGCACATGTCTGGCATAAGAGATTGGGCCATCATTCTCAGTCAAAATTTGTACATATGAAAGATCATTTATTTGATATTGCTAATAAAATTTTTGCTGCTATCTCTTTGTGTTCATTGTTGTGTGGCCAAAAGCCATAGACTACCATTTATGCTTTCAAATTCCACTGTAAACAAACCTTTATCCCTCATCCATAGTGTTTGGAGACCTTTGTCCTCTTTGTCCACGTGTAAATACTACGTTCTCTTTGTTGATGATTTTAGCAAATTCATTTGCCTTTATCTTTATGTTACAAAAGTGAATTGTTTTCAAAGATTTTGGATTTTAAGGCTTTTGTTGAAACTCAGTTCTCTACTAAATTGCAAGTTTTAAGGACAGATGGAAGCATTGAGTTTACTAATAATCAAATGACACATTTCTTAAAAACTCACGGTATCATTTATCACATGTCTTGCCCATATACACCTCCTCATAATGGAGTTTCTGAAAGGAAATGTAGGCATATCATTCAAACCTCTATTGCCTTATTGCACCACTTATCTGCTCCTCTACAACATTGGTTTGATGTAGTGTCTACAACCACCTATCTTATTAACCGAATGCCTAGTTCTAAGCTTTCCAATAAGTCTCCCTATGAACTCATTTTTCATTATGTTCCTGATTACTCAAACTTTAGAGGCTTTGGTTGTCAATGCTTTCCATGGCTTTGGCCTTACACTTTTAGCGAACTTCAGCCTAGATCTACTATTTGTGTCTTCCTTGGCTATCATCTCTCATTTAAAGGGTACAGATGTCTTGATATTACTACAGGAAAAATTCACATTTCTCGTCATGTTATTTTTTATGAAGATATTTTTCCCTTTACTACATCATCAGCATCGCACCCTTCTGTTTCTCACTCTCCTTTAACTCAATTACAATTCTTCTTTTGGTCCCCTTCTTGTATCAAGCCCTTTTTATGTCGTGTCCACCTTCTCAGCCTATTTTTCTATCTAGTCCTCTTTCTACGCATCCTAATGTCTCTATCCCTCTGTCTGCTACTCCAGCTAAATCTTCTACAGCACCTACTCTATCTGATATCCCTGTTGAACCTACAGCTCATTCTTCTACTCTTGTGCCTTCCCTTATCGACCGGTCTGCTCCACTTTCCTCTTCTCTCCATCTATTTTCCTCATATGTTCCAATTTAATCCATTTATATTGACTTACCTGCCTTGCCTTCGTCTTTTTTTCCTCCTTTTACCTCTACTAATGTCCACCCTATGCTTACTAGATCCAAAACTCATTGCCTCATGGCTTCTTCTTCTTCTCATTCTCTTATTGATGTCGAACCTGCTACTTATCAACAGGCCTTAGCTTCTCTCATTTGTTATTCTGCCATGCTTGAAGAGTATAATGCTCTTTTTGCTCAAGGCACTTGGTCTCTGGTTCCTCTTCTATCCTCCAAAACATCCATTGGTTGTAAATGGGTGTATAGAATCAAACAAAACTCTAATGGCACTATTACCAGATATAAGGCCAAGTTAGTTGCCAAAGGATTTCTCCAACAAGAAAGTGTGGACTATAATGAGACATTTAGTCCTGTGACAAAACAACTAGCCATCTAAATTTTACTTTGCATTGCCTTACATTACCATTAGCCTTTAAAACAACTAGACATCAGCAATGATTTCCTTAATGGCATCTTGGATGAAGAAATCTATATGCAGCAACTACATGGGTTTTCTAGTACCACCAATCCTCATCATGTTTGTCACCTACGAAAAGCTCTCTATGGCCTCAAGCAAGCTCCAAGAGCTTGGTATTTCACATTTTCCAAGTTTCTTTTGTCTCAAGGCTTTGTCAATAGCCACTGTGACAACTCCTTGTTCATCAAAAAGACATCCACTGATATTCTCATTCTTCTGGCCTATGTAGATAATATTCTACTTACTGGCAGTAGTTCTCTTCTTCTCCATGAGCTTATTCATCACATGCATTATGCTTTTGCAATGAAGAAATTGGGGTACATCTCTTACTTCCTTGGTATATCCATTCAGTCTATAGGGGCCAACTATTTCTTGTCTCAATAG